CAGAAGACAGTCCAGCCCAGGGAAAACACACGGTGACCCCCTCCCGAACACTGCCCCGCTTGCATGGTGCCCGGTCGCGGTTCCCACTTGGCCCCTCCGCCCCACAGTTATTAGCCCTCCGAGGCTGAAGCTGCAAGGGGCCACGGACGCTGACTTGGAGAAGCTCACCTGAGAGATTCCAGCCTCAAGCCCAGACTGGTCTGTGCGCTGGAGCATCGCGGTGGCAGCCCGCCGGAGAATTCCAAAGGACCCACCCAGCTGTCCAACCTAGGGACGGCCAGGCTGGATCGGACCCATCTGTCTGGCCCAGTAGCCAAGGTTTCTCCCTTGGGTGGATCCCCAGAGCTCACTGCAGCACCAGCCCTCTAAGGGGTCTATGTCAATGGTTCCCACATTTTTTGGCATCACGCCCCCCTTTTTGATTTTTGAAAAACCCTCCCCCCCAAAAAATAGCAGCAAAACTTGTTGAGAAGAGGGGGGGGGGAAAGGAACTGAGCAGTGCAGCAAAACTTGATGGGGGGGGAGGCTGGGTCGCCTCGCGCCCCCCCTTGGGAACCCATGGTCTATGTGGAAAAGTTCCTAGAAAAGTTCAGAGTTGCTGAGTGTGATCGGGGGATGGGGGGGTTTAGAGGCCGATCATCAGCCGCCTCCTCTATTAACCCAGCTCCTTTCCCAGTTTCCTGATGATTAATGCTTCTGCTAATGTCAAGGTCATTTACAGGCCAGGTTGCTCTCTCTAGCAGTCTCAGGGGAAACTGGAGGGGGGGACACCCCACCCCCACTCCTCCATGTACAAAGAGGCTCGCCCACCGAGTTCTCTCCCTCTTAATGGCTTCTCTGTTTGAAGGGGGAACGTGGACCCAGCTCCTTTCCCAGTTTCCTGATGATTAATGCTTCTGCTAATGTCAAGGTCATTTACAGGCCAGGTTGCTCTCTCTAGCAGTCTCAGGGGAAACTGGAGGGGGGGACACCCCACCCCCACTCCTCCATGTACAAAGAGGCTCGCCCACCGAGTTCTCTCCCTCTTAATGGCTTCTCTGTTTGAAGGGGGAACGTGGTAAGAGAGGCAGGAATGGATCCGCTGGGCCAGCTGGACCTCCAGGGCCCGCGGGAAAGCAGGTGACCTTTGCTTTTCAATCCTGAGCTCATTTGAGCTGTGAAGGGAAACAGCTGGTAACATCTGCCCTACATTGCACCAGCGCAGTGCTGACTGGGTCATTCACTGTCCGGCTGGCAGGCTCCCTCCTAGCCTCCCTGCTGGGTGGCCCCCTCCAGCTTCTACATATGGGGGTAGCCATTGGGCTCTGCACGCTGCCCGTGCCCCAAGTGTCACTCCCTCAGCTCCCATTGGCCGTGAACCGGGACCAATGGGAGCTGCAGGGCAGGGACTGTACACAGGGCTGCCTGGCTGCTCCTCTGCCTAGGAGC